GAAACGAAGTGCTTCAGTTTTCAATCTCTGTTTAACAAAACGAAGTGAATCACTCTCCCTCTTGAAGGCAGGCAGACGAAAGCAAAGACTCATTCTCCCTCTTTCACACACTCCTCCTCCCGGCGATTCACTCTCTGTCACACACTCTCTCTCATGTAAGTCCTTTCTCTCACTATCAGATTTTATTAAATAAAGTTGCCATAATTTTTTTTTTATATTCTTTCTCTACCAATTAGTGGAATAATAAATTTGCCATAATTTTTTTATTACCTTCTTTATCCATTAGATTTTAGTGGAATAAATAATTTAGCCCTAATTTTTTTATCTAGGTATTTATCAGTTTTAAGTGAATAATTTGTTTGCCCTAATTTTGTTTCATTAAATTATTTTTTTATAATTTATTTGCTATTAGATCAGTGGATTGTGATTTGTGGATTGAAGTGTTTGTGATTATAGCCATGTTTCCTAGGAAGTATAGTTCTGGAAATGAAAAGAGAAAGAAGAGGATGAAAGTAGAACAATTAATTCAATCTCAATCGGGAGCACTTGATAAATATTTTGGTACCAAGAAACAAGTAGATATTTTGGGTTCAAATGACAATGATGATGAAGATTTGGTAATTGAAGAGCCTACTCATTGTGTGAGTAATAATGAGAATGATGATTTGGTGATTGAACAACCTAGTGAACATATGAATGAGAATGAGAATGAAGATTTGGGGAACGTAGAATCTAATGAAAGTGAAGATGTGAATGTTGAATGTGGACCTCTAAACATTTATGACCCTAGTAATTGGGACAAGATTGATCAAAATTTAAGGGATTTACTAGTTGAAAGAGGTCCCATAAGAGGTAATGGTGTGAATTTTCCCCTAGATGACAAAGATAGGCATTTTTCTTCTACATTTTACATGTGACAGTTACAAAATGGAGAGAAGCAGGATAGGAAGTGGCTAGTATATTCAGATGCTTCAGACAAAGTGTTTTGCTTTTGTTGCAAGTTGTTTAAGCAAGATGGGAACAATATTCATTTGGCTATTGATGGATTGAAAGATTGGAAGAATATGGGCAACAGGCTTAGAAGTCATGAAACTAGTAATGAGCACTTTATTTGCATGAGCAAATGGGTTGAGTTGGAAAGTAGATTGAAGAAGAATGAAACAATTGATAGAAGTGCTCAAGAACAAATCAACAAAGAGAGGAAACACTGGAGACAAGTGTTACTAAGGATAATTTCTATTGTGATCACTATTGCTAAAAATAATTTAGCTTTTCGTGTAGACAATGAGAAGATCTATCAAGAAAGAAATTGTAACGACCCAGAATCGTATACTATGATTACCAGTAATTAATTATGTGTTAGCATGATTTAATTGAAGATTATCTGTTGAACTTAGAAGAATATCTGTTGAGATGAGAACTTTGGGACTGAAATTGATGACCGTAATGGGTTCGGAAAACGAAATTGAACACGCCTATGTGACACCGGGAATTTGTAGAACCATTTGGGAAAATAAATTGAGAACTGAATTTCGTCTGATTCGTTAAGCCTTGTTTGGCTCAAGATAATGGCACAATTCTATTTTTATGGTATATATATAGGTATAGATTAAGATGTTGACCATGTTTTGACTCAAAACAAAAGAGAAGAAAAATCTGGAAAGGAGAGAGAGAGAGAGAGATCGTGAGAAAGGGGAAGAAGAGGAGGAAAGAGAGAGTCAAGCTAAATCTTCTACAATTAAGATGTTAGTCATGAAGAACAAATGTCTCTTGTGATAAGATGTGTAGATGTTTCAACTAGTCTGGTAAAGGTAGAAGAATTCTTTTTAGAATTTTTGAAAGTGGATGATACATCGGGGTTAGGACTTTTTAATGTACTTAGAGAGGCATTGCACATACTCCAGCTTGATATTGGTGATATAAGAGGGCAAGGATATGATAATGGCTCTAATATGAAAGGGAGACACAAAGGTGTACAAAAAAGAGTACTTGAAATAAATCCAAGAGTATTCTATACGCCATGTGTGTGTCATAGTCTTAATCTTGCCCTTTGTGATATGGCTACCTCTTGTTCCAAAGCTATCTATTTCTTTAGAGTGGTACAACGCATATATGTGTTGTTTTCAACTTCTACAAAGAGGTGAAAAATTTTCAAAGACAATGTGGAAGGTCTCACACTTAGGCCATTATCACAAACTCGTTGGGAAAGTCGCATTGAAAGTGTTAAAGCTATACGGTACCAAGCTCCACAAATTAGAGATGCTTTAATTCAGTTGGAAAAAGAAGCTGATGATCCCAATGCAAAGTGTGAAGCTGAATCCTTAGTTACATCTGAAATTGAGAACTTTGAGTTTTTGCTTGACATGATTATTTGGCACAATCTGTTGTTTGCTGTTAATTCTGTTAGCAAGACATTTCAAGCTGAAGACATGCATATTGATGTTGCTATACATCAATTAAAAGGACTCATTACATTTCTTGAGAAGTATAGAGAAACTGGATTTTTGGAGGCCATGATTGAAGCTAAAGAAGTTGCAATTGAAATGGAGATTGAGCCTACATTTCGTGAAAGGCGTGTCATTCGTAGAAAGAAACATTTTGATGAGAATGTTAGTGAAGAGGTTGCACAATCAGCTGAAGAATCCTTTAGAGTTAATTATTTCATATATATAATAGATCAAGCTCTTTCTTCACTTAAGAGTAGATTTGAGCATTTTCAAATATATGATGAAACTTTTGGATTTTTGTTTGATTTGAAGAAGTTAAATTCTACCAATGATGAGTTCTTGAAGACTTGTTATGCTAATCTTGAAGACTTTTTGAAACATGATGGGCTTATGGATATTGATGGGAGAGATTTATTTTCTGAGTTGAAAGTCTTCAAAGAAATTTTGCCAAAAGAAATCAGTAGGCCAATTGAGGTGATGAATTATTTGAAATTGATGGATGGTTGTTTTCCAAATGCCTGGATTGCGTATAGAATATTATTGACTATTCCAGTTACCGCTGCCTCTGGAGAAAGAAGTTTTTCAAAGTTAAAATTGATCAAATCCTACCTTCGATCAACAATGTCACAAGAAAGATTGAATGGATTAGCTATATTGTCTATTGAAAAGGATTTGGTAGATAAATTAGATTATACAAACTTAATTAGTGATTTTGCAGCTAAAAATGCAAGAAGAGTAGTACTTAAGTGATCGTTGGGTTAATTGTAAGCTGGATATTGCTAAACTATAAAGCAACAAAACCAATTTTTAATGTTTTGGAGTCATTATACTGATTTCTTCCTATCTTAATATATGAAAGTAAATTTTAGTTTATAATTTTAATGATTATATGTTCAAGTATACTTAAATAAAAAATTTGTAGATACTTATCATTTTATGCACAAATTTTTTATTAAAAAAAAATATATTCGAGGGGCCCCATTTTCACAGGGCGCCTTAGGCCCCACAAATCTCAGGGCCGGCCCTTGCTTCGACATTGATGCTCTGCAGATTCGAGCTCTTACCGGTGGAGGAGTCAGAATGAGAGTGAGATGAGTAGTGCGAAGATGGAGAGAGAGAGAGAGAGAGAGAGTGAGAGTGTGAGAGAGAGAGATGTGAACGTGAAAATAAGAGAAGAGGGAAAGATAAATTATAGACCCCAAAGGATTTGAGGAAATTTGGAAAATTTGAACTATTTCTAAGAATATATATTGATCACACTTGTGGGGTTTTATTTATTTTTTGTAGTTAATGATTTTTTTTTTTCATTTTTTTTTTCAGTTATTAAGATTGAAAATCTATTTGCTTCATTTTTATTTTAATGTAAAAAAAAGGTAATATTTTAATGAAAAATATTTTCTGTTAAAACAAAGTTAATTTTTTGTGGTCAATGAAAAATATTTTTTTGCGGCCTATTTTTTTTTTGTTACTAAAAATCAGGAACTAATTTTTTTGTGGCAGAGAAGAGGGAGTGATAGTAATGGTGAAGGTGGTGAATAAGAGGTGACAGAAATGGTGGTAGTGATAGCGAAGGAGATGGAGTGGTGCAGTTGTGGTAGTGGTACAGGAGATGGAGTGGCAGTGGAGGAGAGGTAATGGTAGTAGTAGGGACAATAGTGCTGGTGCTGGTGGTGGTTGTAACGACTACATCACGTATAATGATTAGTACTTGATTAATTACGAGGATTTGAAATTTAATTGCCGAGTATTATAATTTAATTTGGGATTTATGAGGATTGTGGGATCGGACTCATATATGATTCTATTAAAGATTTATTTTGAAATTAGAAATTGAGGGTCCAAATGGCTTAAGGAAGTGAAGTTAAGAAGTTGAATCAATTTAATCTTAATTATGGACCCATTTGGGAATTTAATTAAATATTCGTTTCAGTTTAGTAAAATTGAGATTTGATTAATTAGATCCTAATTGGAGTTAATCAAGTTAATTAAGTTATGAAGATTAAGAATTGTAATTATTACGAATTAAATTTAGTTATGGGGTGTCTAATTTGAATATGTAATTTATTGACGAAGATTTTGTGTCTGATCAAAAATTGAAGGCCTAAATGATTTGGGAAATCAAAATTGAGGATGAAAATAAGTTTAATTTAATATTTGGAGTCTTTTGGGAGTTTGATTAAAAATCAGATTCAGAATAATAAAGATTAAATATAATTAATTGGGTTTTAATGGAAGTCAAATTAGACTGAGTAAATTATGTGGGATTTTGATTAGTTGTGATTAATTAAATTATGTACTAATCAAGTGTTAATTATAATTAGTTAAGACAAAAGTGGGATTTAATTAAGTCAATGCATAAATTAGTAATTTAGTTAATTTTAGAGCCTTCTAATCTTTAATATTGGAACCCTGTGCACGTGTGAATAGTGTTAAATCAGGAAGTGGGTTTGGTATTTGTGGTGCCAATTTCAAGTGATAAAGTAGGCTTACTCCTTTTCTTCTTCAGAAACTATTTTTGTTGAGTACAGTTTGGTGAGGGAGTGAAGAACCGAGAGAGAGAGTGAGAGAGAGAAGTCCAACTTTTATGCTGGAAAAAGCTTTGGAGAAATGGGTTTATGAGATCTAAATGAAGATAAAAGAGAGAACTCAAGGAATTAAAAAGAAATTTAGCCATGGAAGGTTAAAGTTAAGGATTTTAACCTTGATTGTAGTAGAATCCTTGTATCACACTTGAAATTAAAGATGGAATTGGATTCAAAATCATGTAATTAATAGGAATTAGTTAGAATATGAAGAAATTTTGAATTATGTTTTAAGATCATAGAAATATATTTGGAAATTAATTAGTTCGAGTTTGATTTCTAGTATTCTTCACAAATTGAAACTCATCCTTGTATGCATGTTGGAATTTCAAGGTTTTAGATTTAATTCATGTGTAAAAGATTGATAAGTTTAAATTTGGGTTAGATATGAAGGAAATTAATAAAAATCTAAATTAGAGTAATTCAAGAATTAAATTATGATTTGCTTGGGAAAAATATAAAATCAGTAATTTTGATCATGATTTCATATATGTAAATATTTATTTAAAAGAGTTTATAATTTCAATTTCATGATTTAAGAAGAATTAGTAAAATGATGAAGGAATTGAATTGGATTCAAAATTATGGAAGTTAATTTGGATTTGGGTTCAAAACATGAAATGAGTTACATGCATGTGGATGATTATGGAAAATAAATTAGAAATTAATTATTTTAAGTTTAATTTCTGTTATTCCTCATGAATTTGGGCTTCATCTTTACATGCATCAATGAATCTTTGAGAAAGTTGGAGAATTAATTTCATGTTTGGGTACAAGGAGAGCAAGTTTTGGGAAATTATGAATTCATGAACATTTTGAACTTAATATTGAATTAAGGCCCCGTTTGTTTCACTGGATATAAAATGGAGGATATAATATGATGTGAGATTTAGTCAGGATATATAATGAACAGGATATAGGTATTGGATAGTATATCCCCTAAGTCATGTTTGTTGACTTGATATATAAGATTGGATACATGTTATGCATGTTTGTTTTACAAAATATATTGTGGGATATAACAAGTAATTTCCAAGATTGCCCTCATAATATTATATTATATTAAATTAAATTAAATAATATTATATTATATTAAATTAAATTCAATAATTATATTATATTATATTAAATTCAAAAAAAAATATTAAATTATAGTATGTTAGATAGACAAAAGGGTAAATTGGACTTTTTACATCATATCCTAACCAAGGGGATATGATATAATGGGGGGGTATTGTATATCCTCCACTTTTGGGAGCCAACAATGCTAGAGACCCCCAATGACTGGGCACCCCCAGCACCCCCAGTGCCACATGGCACATTGCCAGTGGCTGAAGTCTTAAAAAAAAAAAAAAAAAAAATTGAGCCAATCAGGGGCGACCCCCAGTGACCCCCACTGGGGGTCTTAGCCATTTTTCTACAATCCCACCGGATATTATTTTCCCTTCAAAAAAAAATTGCAAACATGGGATATATGGACCCCACCGGATATAATATCCAATCCCAATCTTCATATCTCCCAATCAAACAGGGCCTAAAGGAATTTTGGATGTAATTGGTTTGAATTTTGACCCTAATTTCACACATGCAAATATTTTTCTAAGAGTTTTATAACTTTAATTTCACGTTTTAGATAATCCTCCATGCATCATGAATTAAGGAAGTTATGGAATTAGTCTCATGGATTTTGTAAGAAATAAGGTTTTAAGTAAGAAATTAAGTAGACTCATAATTGTGGAAATTAATTTGAAAAATTAATTGTTTTGATTTGATTTTGTAGTATTTTCTTGCAATACATGAGTTTTAAGGGAATTGAGCCATTCAAGTTCTTTTTGAAAAGATGAATGATATGTTTTAAGAAAGTCAAGTTTATGGAAATTTGGAATTAATCCTAAAATTTTGATTTTATAATTAAATTTTAACCCATGCATGTAATGTAATTTCAAGAATTGGAAAGTCTAATTCCTATTTTAATATTGTGGGTTTGATATAAAGAAAATGAGTTAAAACTAAATTTGGACAATTGGAGCATGACTTTGAATAAATGATTTTTTTATTGAGAGTGTTCACTAAATTATACAATAGCTCTCCATTTTTGTGTGCCAAAAATTCATGCTTTGAGGCTTTGAATATCAAATTTGAACTTCAATTGCAATTCTGAAAATTTCAGAATTTACGATGCCCGCTCAAGCGAGGAAAGTCTCGCTCCAGCGTGAAAATCAAGCTCGCAGAAGTTTTTCAAATTTTACAGTCCGCTCGAGCGACCAAAGTGGCGCTCGAGCGGAGATCTATTTTCAGCATATTTTAGAAAATTGCATTTAGTTCACATTTTTTTATTCTCATCTCTTTCCAAGCGTTCTAGACATGATTTATGATTCAATAAAGATTAATAAGCCACCAATCAACATAAATTAGTTAGTTAAAGAATGAATCGTTGATCTAGTGGTAATTGTTTAAGAAGCCAAGTAAAAGATCAATCTATTTAGAAATAAAGACTTAGTAATGAAAGAATATGTGAAATAGGAACCCGGGTTATTTGAATGAGAAAGAATAAGCGTAGTAGAACTCCGGACTATTTGGATGGAAAAAGACTAGAAAAGTCAAGTTTGATCAAGGAAGTAATGTTGTATTTCAATGTGTATATATTATGTGCTTGTGTAGGTCACGCGCCATTGTCTGCCTGATTTATCTGATATGTCCAGTTCGTCTGATTTGCTTCTACGGCTAACCGTGAGCAATAACATAGTAAAGTTATGTGCAACTTTATTTATTTTCTATGTGTTGAATTAAGATCTGTTTTCTGAACTGATATGTTCTGTATAATGAATGATTGTCCAATTTCTGTTATGTATTTGTGACATCCTTAACATCATGTGATATCTGTTGGCTGTTACCTGGTATCGAAGGTTCCTTTATGGAACTTAATCTGTCTGCACTCTGTTACCCATACCGGAGGTTCCATCATGGGGGCTCAGCGTGTTTATTCTCTATTAACCGAATCCGGAGGTTCCTTTATGGAACTAGTTATTCGTAACCCTCACGTGTCTGCATCTGTTTTGTATCTGCTCTGTTAATGCTAATGGATGTATCACGTATACTTACGCATGACTTATGATTTCTGTATATGATCTGGACAAATTATGAATTTGATACGAAACTAAATTATGAATTCTGAATCTGTACGGACTCATTCATTAAAACCCTTTACTCTGCTATTATTCACTGGGCTCTAGCTCACTGTATTATTTATGTACGTAGGTGATCAAGCACGCAACCAGGCTTAGAAGCATCTGCCTAGAATCTATTTTTGTCAACCAACCTATGTGCCTCCCGTTGTGGTTCCGGATACGTAAAGTGATTGTCGCTATGTGATTTAAAGTTTAAGTTCTGTTTTCTTGTTTGGTTAAGCAAGTCTTGTGTATTTTGTAAATAGGGCTAAGTCCCTTTTTGTCTAATCTGTATATATATAATGACTTGAAGATAATGTGTATATATGTATATAAAAAGTTTAAAATTTTTCTATCTCATATAAGTCTGCACAACTCAATGGACGTTGTATATTGTTATTTCCTTTCGCTAGCCTCTAATATTATGTTAATCTGTCTTAGAGGCCTTCGGTAATCCCAGGATTACTGGCCGGTTACGATACTAAACCTATAGGGGCAGGTTTGGGTCGTGACAGTGGTGGTGGTAGTGGTGTGGTGACGACGGTGGTAGTAATGGTAGTCGTAGAGGTGGAGTAGCAACAGTGGTAGTAGTGGTGGTAGTGGAATGACATTTGCAGTAGCATGAAGGTGGTAGAAGAGATAGGTAGTGAGAAAGAGAGATGAGTGAGAGACAAATAGAAAAGAGAGAGAGAAAAAAACAGAGACAGAGTGATGAGCGAGAGAGAAAGAGAGAGAGAGAAAGAGAGAGTGAGAGTAGCGCTAAAAGTGTATTTTCTTGTAGTGAATCGATAAATTGAGAGGGAGCTTGGTAAATAGAGAAGATGAGAGGGAGAGAGTGGGCAAGATAAACATAGTAGGAGAGAGAGAGAGAGAGAGAGAGAGAGAGAGAGACAGAGATAGACATACAGACAGACAGACAGACAAACAGACAAGCAGACAGAGAGATAAAGAAAGAGAGAAGAGTGATGAGTGAGAGAAAAAAAGAGAGAGAGAAACAAGAAATGAACGAGAGATAGACAAAGAGAGGGAGAGAGAGAAAGAGATCGAAAATAGATGAATGAGAGAGAGCCATAGAAAAAAAAGAGACAGAGAGATCAACGAGAGAGATAGAGAGAGAAGATAGATGAGCGAGACAAAGAAAGAGAGAAGAGAGATAGAGAGAAGAGAGATGAGTGAGAGAAATAAAGAGAGACAGAGAAAAGAGAGATGAGCGAGAGAGACAGAGCGAGAAGAGAGATAGGAGAGATAGAGAGAAGAGAGATGATCGAGAGACACAGAAAGAAAGAGAAATGAGAAAGAGAAAGAGACAGACAGACAGCCAGAGAAGAGTGATGAGAGAGAGAGACAGAGAGAGAGAGAGATAGAGACAAAGAGATAGGAAAATAAAAAAATAGGTAAAAAGAGAAATTTTATATCAAAAGAGCAAAACAACATCGTTTTTTTAAATTTTTTGTTTGCGACAGAAAAATACTGTTGCATTTATTCAAACCATTTTGTGACTGTATATATATGAAGCTGTCTCAAAGCCACAATATTTTTTTTTATAATTTTTTTTTTTTTGCAATGATGCCTATGGCAATCGCAAAAAACTCACTTTTTAAAAAACCCCTTTTTTTTTTTTTTTTTTTTTGCAATTGTAGCTGGTGCCGTCGCAAAAGCTTTATTTTTTCACAACAACAATCTCTGCCATCGCAAATACTCTCATTTTTTTGCAACAGCAATTTCTGCTATCGCAAATACTCTCCTTTTTTTTTGCGACAGCATTTTCTGCGGTCGCAAATACTTTCCTTTTTTTTTGCGACAGCAATTTCTGCTGTCGCAAATACTCTATTTTTCCGCAACAACAAATTGTGCCATCGCAAAGACTCACCTTTTTCGCGACAGCAAGTTGTGCCGTCGCAAAAACTCACATTTTTC